CACTTTGATTATGTTCGGGCTGCCAATTAAATGTCAGACAATAGTGAAACATTGAAAAGTCCAAGGTGATGTTTATAAATGTTCACATGTATTAATATAATATAAAATAGAGAAAAGAGAGACATCTCTATAATTGAGTTTGTTTTGCATAAAAATGACTTGAACAATTAATTGATTGTCAGAAAAAGTTGCAGATTGTTTTTCGTTCTCTGGAATTAAGATTGCAGATCAAGCTAATGTACTATGGTTAAGATTAGAAAATGTATTTTGACATTTGACATTTGTCTTTCTGGAATTAGCAGAAGCAAGCCCCCAGTCCCCTTTTAGGCAAATTCTTCCCAAATGTAAACTAGCCAGAGACCTGAAGGAGGCTTATGACAGGTGTGTGCATTATGTTCTTCTTATCATGCAGATTGTATGTATATGGCTCATATGTAAGATTCTAATACTCATGTTCTTGCAGCCTCTGTACAACAGGTGTGGTGCGTCTGCACATTAACAACTGGCTGGAGGTGAGCTTCTGTTTACCACATAAGATCCACAGGATTGGCGGCAACCACATCCCCCCCGAGGCCTTAGAGCGCAGCCTTAAGGCTATAAGGTTTGTGTGTTCTTTTAATGTGCAGAATGAAAGGTTTCTACCCTCTTCTATGTGGGTTAAAACTTTTCAAATATCACTTTTGGCAACACTTCAATCATCATTGTGAAACTGAAAATGTCCTATCATAAATAAACACATACCCCACCCAAAGTCCCCCTTCTCAAAGCATACACACATGTAGGAAGTGTTCTTTTTTAAACTATTTCAAACAATTGCCACATTTGTATTCACTATATAAAACATTTATAAAATGTACTTTTAATTGCAAATATAGGTTCCTTCTTTTCTGCCCTCAAAAAAGCAACTATTGCAAGAATAGAAAATGTGTGGTCCCCGAAAGCAGCAGTTTATTCATTGTTAATTTCACAAGGCTAGTCATGCAAAGCTTCTAAATGAGTTTGTTATTGTCAGTTTAGAAAACTCATGACTCTCACTGACTACATAAAGCCAGTCAGCATGCAAAGACATATACATGACTACCAAGTAGCCTAGGATTCTAACAATCCCCTTTCATCTGTGTTGTTTGAATAGACTGCAGTATAAATATATATATATATATATATATATATATACACATACACAAATGTTGTTAGTCACAGAGGGCCCACAAAATGTTGTCTTGCAAGAAGTTGCAGTTCCTAAAAACTGAGAGTATAATCCCCCATCAGTGTGTAATGTGTAAGGGGAATTGTTTTCTCTAAAGGCCGATTAAAGGCTAAGTTTTATGAGTGACTTACTATTCAAAGCATCCAAAGTAAACATCACGTTTTCTTTGGAACATACTGCCCCCTATTGATACTTCATCATACTACATCAGAGTTGTGATCTTTTATTTCTGCCTCTTGACACTGCACAGGGTGAAAATGGTGCTCTGCTGAAAGATGATTTAATTTTCACTGAATTCGACACTCTGTTGTTCTGTGGACTGGCTCTAAAGCAGCTTCCCTCTGGCTTCTATTGAGGACCCAGTCTTGGCCTCTAAAGAAAAGGTCTATTGATACATCATGTGCTCTGCTCCTTCAGGCCCTACCATGCCCTGCTGCTGCTGGAGAGTGAGAAGGCGCTGCTGAACCAGCTTCCTCTGGACTGCTCGCCTGCGATGGTGCGCCTCATCAAAACCTGCTCAGCGGTGAAGAACCTGCAGCAGATGGCACAGGATGCTGACCTGGCCTTACTGCAGGTGGAGAACAGTAGCACTGCCTGCATCACCACTTTTTCTGATCTCACAGGGCATAAAATAAGATTTACCTTCTACTAATTAAAAAATGTGTATAACCATTTAATTATAACCCACACAAGGTGTAATTAAAGGTATACATGTTGTGTTTCATGTAGGAGAATCAAAGGTGATGATTAAATAGGATGTATGTGTCACAGTTTGCTAAACATCTTTTTTTTAAAGTGCAACGCTGGAGCGATATCATACTGCGTATCTGAGAAATTAAAATATGTACCATTCAAAGTTGTTTACCCAGAAAGGTGTTAAAGGTGTCTTACTGTCATCTAGTGGACAATATGTGTATATTCAAAGACAATCTAAAACCACCAGTATAAGAAGTGCTTATATCTTCCTTCTTCATTTGTTTTTCATTTGCAAACCATATTTTTGTTTATTGTCTGATTTCGCATTGCTAATAATATTTGCAAATGAATTTCCCTCAGATCTTTCAAATTGCTGCTCACTTGGTTTATTGGGGCAAAGCGATCATCATCTACCCGCTGTGTGAGAACAACGTCTACATGCTGTCTCCTCACGCCAACATCAGCCTGTGAGTGTTCAATGATTACTGTTGATCTAATAATAATATAGTTAATAATAATAATAATAATAATTGCCTGTGCCATCGCCTCCTACATAGGTACAAAAACAAATCTAATCTTTATTTTTCGTTGATTCAGATTTGTACTTGCACCTTAAGATTTGTTATGAAATTACTGGATCAGGCCATTGGCAGAACATGTCATTTTCTTCTATACACACAATATCTTTACATTCAAATAGCCTTTTCTTTTACACCACTGTTTTAAAAGCTACTTTAATGGGAAATCTTGCTGTTAATGTATCGTAATGTCGGCCTTCTCTCTCTGGATAGATACTCATCATTGGCTGAGCAGTTTGCTCAGCAGTTTCCTGGTCACGATCTACCCTCGATGTTAGCCAAGTTTTCTCTGCCTGTCTCTCTGGCCGAGTTCAGAAATCCCCTGGAAGCTCTCGCACAGGAGGTAGGTCTATCGTACAATAACAAATACAAAGCCAACATTCCCACGCCTTCACACAGTAATAAACATTAAGCCCTACAAAAACAAATAGTATTTAATGAATACATTTTTTAAAGTCTGACAGTCCCCCAGTCTTCTTTTAAAGAGCTGAACAATATAAACATAATTAGAAAATAACTAATGTTTCCATTTTTAAAAACATTAACATATTTAGATTGAAGAATAATAGAGTCAGACATTGTGAACATAATACAAATATTTTTTTATAACAAAATAGAAGTACAATGAAAGCATCCCGGTAAATATCTAGTATATAAAGGGCTTTTTCTGTAAAGGTATACGCTGCGTTGTAAGAGCAGAACCATCTGCTGTTCTCCTCCGACCCGTGTTGTTTTGGCATAGCTGCTTGAGCGTCGGCGCTGAATAATAAATGGAAAAGGGACATCAGCTCCAACGTCTGCAGCCTCTATTTTTCACGAGAACATGATCAGAGCCAGGGCGCTTTATTTTGGCTCTATTTTTGAGCTAGTGTGGTATAAATGGCGGATTTCAAATATTTGACCTGGTTAGGGACATCAGTCTGCTCAGCTTCACTTGTTCTGTGTTTCTCCTCCTCCAGGCCCAGCTGATCCAGATGGTGGTGTGGATGCTTCAGCGCCGCCTCCTCATCCAGCTGCACACCTACGTCTGCCTGTTGGTTCCTCCCAGCGAAGATGAGCCTGGCTTGAAGGATGAAGATCTTCCACTGGCTTCCCGAGTAGGGGGCCGCAGCCTCAGCACCCCGAGCGCCCTCAGCTTCGGTTCCCCTAGTATGTCGTCACTCAGCCCCCTCCTGACTAACCCTTAGTGCTATGACAAGGCAATAGATAATCAATGATTGTCTGTGTGCTTCCTCTTCATAGCCAGCAGTGATGACATGACCCTCACCAGTCCCAGTATGGACAACTCCAGTGCAGAGCTGCTGCCCGGGGGGGACTCTCCGCTCAACAAGAGGATGACGGAGACGCTGCTCGCCAGCCTGTCGGAGCACGAGAGGCAGGTTATCCTAAACATCCCTGCTGCACAAAATCCGGAGGATCTGAGGATGTTTGCGAGGTATTTAGACCCAAGCCAAAGCATATTTTGTGTTTTTTATCAGTGCATTAAACTCTTCTCAGCTCTATGCTTAGATTAAAGACACTCCACAGCCTGTCTGAGACAAAGATTGACAGACTTCAATTCATTAATATTGAACAGTCTGACACCGATTGCGACCAAGGTTTTATTCAACCAATCTCAAACATTGTGAATAAACGCACACAATCGCAGCTGTTGCCCCATCTTAAAGGTCCCAAACAGATGGGATATGTTTTAGTGGGGATTAAGTGAGAGAATAAGAAGTTGTATTAATTGCATTCAAAGAATATTAGAACATTTAATTGGAAATGATCAGCTGGGTAGTTAAGACCAGTTGCCAGCTGTAGGTTCTGTCCATGTTCAAAACAGGAAATGTCTAGAGGAGTAAAGAAAAATGTTGGATTTACCCAGTTGATGATTCAATAAAACTGTTCTGCCTGTTATGTTGACTGTTTCCAGGCTGCTGCACTATTTCCGGGGACATCACCACCTGGAAGAGATCATGTACAACGAGAACATGAGGCGCTCGCAGCTCAAGACCATGTTTGACAAGTTCCGCAGTGTCCTTGTGGTGACCAACCATGAAGATCCCATTATTTCAATCTTTCAGTGCCCCATGGAGTAATGGCTCGGGGACAGTGTGCAGAAGATGTCTGTTAGTGAGCCTGATGTGCTCACAGCTAAGTGCTATTACTCAACAGTGTTGTTTTCAAATGAACTGATTGTTGAATGAATTATCGCAGATTTACATAATTTTTTTTCCCTTATGAGCCAAATGTTTGTTTACAATATTAAATTATTTTGTACATTACAGATATGCCTCAACTCAGATTATTTTGCAAAGTTGTTTAACCCCTGCATGTCCCAGATGTGTTAGATAATCTGTGCCGACCACAGAGCGGCACACTGCGTAACGATCATTCCAGACCTGCTCCCCCTACTCTGCAATCCCAGAGGTGAGGAGAAAAAAAAGCAAGAAAGGGAAGACTCTAAACAGGCTGTTTCTGCTTTGAGAGAAACAGAGCACTCCAAACATCTGTGAAATCACTGAGAAGAGAAGTTCCAAAGTATGAATGTTTATTAAAAACACTGATGGAGCACCAAAAAAGACGTTCTTATATTTGAATTTGTTCAGTCAACCAGTCATGGAGGTTGTTTTACCATCTTGACTTTCTTGTTGAGTTGTTATACCGCCTATGTGGTGAAGTCCACAAAGGTAACAGATGGCAGAGTAGTCACGCCTTTTTGACATTGTGCTGTCCTGTGTGAGACTGCACTTCTGAGGGAGCCAAATTGCTCGTTACATTTCCAGACACTGACTGCCTTTCTGCTTCTTTATTCACTACGCTAACACACGGGTGCCCACGGAGATAAAAACGCCAGGGCTTCTTGGCCCATTCCCCATGGGACTCAATTCCAATGCGTGGTGCTGATACTATGTCATTGGGTTCTGCTGGATTTATGTTGGGGTCCTTCTCCAGCCAAACCTCTGAGTCTGCAGCTAGGTTTCGACGGTCGAAACAGCGGGGTATATTTAGAGCCTGGCACAGCTTGGAGGGCCCATTGCAGAGCTCTTTGTCCTTCAGTAGTCGGGCTCCCTCTCTGCGTCTGGATGCCCTCAGCTGCCTCATGGTGGGCTGACCCTGCAGGGGCTCCAGGGAGCGCAGCAGCACGGCAGCCCCCTCCCCTGGTAATACAGCACACAATATGCAACTGTCAGCAAGGCTCCACCCTGTCTCCTTCCTTTTGCCCTTTATGCATTGGCGATCAAAAACACTGATGTATTGGTTTAATGTTAGATTAATGATACATATTTGGAGGTAGGATTATTGTGTATGCACTAGTAGGCCAAATGGCATATGCTTTTACCTTCACTAGACACGTTCATACAGAGGTAGATGCCATAGATTAGATAGACATAGATCGTGCCAGGCTTCATGAACATGGCTGTGTTCCTCTCGGTGCGTTTGCCTCCTGCTGAGTGTGAAGCTTTATCCTCCCCTCCAAGGTACGCTTCAGTTTCCACTATTCTCCCCCTCAGCTCAGTGCCATCTGCACACCTGCGGACCAACACCTGCAGGGACCAGGAACAAGACAGATTAGATGTTATTAAAACGAGTCACTTAGATCATTAGTCAGCCTACAGAAGATTAATTGTCAACAATTATGATAGTTATAATACATTGCATTTGAGTAGTGCCTTTTAAAACATATTACAAAACTCACCTCTCAATCTGGCTTTTAATGTGTGATTGTTTGTGTATTGCTTGATTTTAATGTGACTTTAACTATATTTATTTGTTGTTCTTTTTTCCACTATCTCTGTAAAGCGACTTTGAGCACCTGTAAAAAGTGCTTACAAAATAAATATTATTACAGTTGCAACAGAAAACACATTAGAAAAAGTAAGTAAAAAACGTATATTAATTAGAAATTAAAAAATGATACAAGGAAAATAGATTAAGATAGTTCAAAAATGTAAAACAATTAATTTATTAGAGGGCATATAAAAATACTTATTTTAAAGACATTTAAATGAGGACAAGATGAGGTGAAGATAAAGCCAAAATGTAAGGCTCCAAGCTGTAATTTTTTTTTTTTAGCCTTCTCTTGATAGCATAAACATATTTTGGTTATGTGTTTTGGGATTGGATTTTTACAAGGTTGTAGTGACCCATGGAGTCTATGGTGTAGCCAACTGATAAAACAATTTAACAGTGACTGGATCTAAGACTACACTGACCTAATGAAGGCACTTGGAAATACAAAGTAGTTTTAAAGGTTTAAAGAGTTTTGAAACGTAGACAAACATGTGAAATGGATAGAGCTTTATCTGGCTTTCCAGAAATCCATCCTTCAAAAATAACGTGCAGTATCACCTTGCCAAGGAATGCTTTTGCCAAACTAATGCATGATTGTTTGAAAAAATCCTCTTCCAGTCTTTGATGCAGGTCATTATTGATGAAGTAGTGGCTGAGCTCCGCCTCACAATTTTGAGCATTTTCAAGAGTTTCACAAGGATTGTTCTTCAGTTTAGCAGGTGAGACATTCAGAGTTAAATCCGTCTGGTTTTATGCTTAACTATTGCTGCTTCTGCATCTGTCTTTCTTTTTCTACCTGCCATTACAAAAGGTTACCTCTAAACCCTTAAAACAAATGTATCCCTTCTACGACCCTCTTGCAGTCTCTTTGTATTGTCAGCAACACTTGTATACAGTATTTAAGTTAATATTTCACAATTAATGTTAGTCCTGAAGTAGATTAATGCTATTGCTAACCTACAGGAAGTAAACGGTTGTTTTGATTCTCTTAAAGGCACCGCGCACCATTTCGGCCTAGCAACTAGTGATTTTGTTTCAATTTCGTGTTTCCTCTTCAGTGTATCTTTTCAGTGTAAGAGCCAACATTTAACTTGTTTAAAAAAACTACTTTGCCACTCAGCATTATCGTTCCTGCTACAAATGGCAGACATAGAAGATAGAACCCACCAACACTGACCTTTTTCCTGCTGCTGTCTTATCTTATCAGCCTCATTTGAAAACACTCCACATAAGAAGTTATAAATAGAGCTGGTGTTCTCTTGCCTGCCTGTGCCCAGGAAGTGGATGGCGCCAGTTTGGCTCCAGGCGCTGTGGTCCATGTGGCTTTCTGGAGGACTAACAGTGTGTGACATGGTGCTATGCCACAGACTACATCTTTATCAGGAGACTACAAGTTTGCTTTGTTGTTTTTCTCAAGCACTGCACTGACACTATTGCTCAAGACTGCATGCATTGAATAGAATAAGAGTAGACATGTAGGCCAGTAGATAGATTGATAGATATATAGATAGATGGTAAATGCAGTGGGGGAGAGTAAATACATCATGACGTTTTTTTAAGGTGCATTGCAAACAGAAACATAAAACTAATGGGAGCTCGGTTTAAACTATTCGGTAACACTGTATATTAAGGTACACAAATTCACCATCAACTAGTTGTTAATTAACATGCATATTCAATATATCAAGGTGTTTGACAGAAAGCCATATTCATACCACCACCATCCTTGAAAAACACTATTCTTTGAGTTTTGACAATTACAAGTCTTTTAAAAGTAATGTTGACATGGACTGCCCCCCCCCCCCCCTTAGGGAATTCATCCACACAAAAATAAACTGGACGCTGCACTAGTTCAGAAACCAGAGGAGACTGTGAAGTCCACCGTAGATGGACCACTTTTGGCCAAAAGGTCCCAACTGAGATACGGGATTGTCCCACACTCAATAGCTTCACAGGTCAACTCAAATAATGGTTGAGAGACACACATTCGTGCAAATCACCGTTAAATGCACTTTAATACAGGGTGGTATCTCCTCTTGCACCGTTTTTTATCCCTTTATATCTTGTATCTTCTCTTGCACTGTATGATGCGTTGCTGCTATATTGTATTACCATGTCATAAATACTTGTGTATGCTGCTCTTGCTCTTTTGCACCTTTTGCATATCATGTATTTTGTTTTTGCTATGTTTGTAAAATGTAAACTTCTTAATGTTTTATGTGAGGGACTGCGGATGGAAATTAGCTCAAAGCTAAATCTGGCACTGTTACGTTTGACACATTTTAATGTTTTAACTGTTCATTACTGTGCATTGTCCCTGCCAAATAAACGATAAAAAAAGAAGTATATTGGCTCTTTATTAGTCAACACACTTATTAATGCCTTATTCTACATGACCATATTCTACAAGTAAAAGGCCATTAGTTGAGAGTTTTTCCTCAATAAACCTCTAATTAGTGCTTATTTATTGCAAGTAAGGAGGTTGTTGTACATGAGTTTTGGTCTGCTCAATATGGGCCTAATAAGGCAGTAGTACCACAAGAATAGTAATTCTCCCATAATAACAAGAATATGTTCCCTATTTTAAAGTGAAGTCTTGTTCATAACCATTAAGCTAGTAATTTGACATTCAAACGAAGTGAAACTATAAAAAAAGAAGTTACAAGGCACTTAATGATCTCATACATACAAGTGTAACATAAACAGATTAACACATAGGTGCGTGTTTATGCGCTGACACATCCTATCTTTACTCTGGAAAGTCTTGGTGCTTTGACTGGGATCATTCTTCTGTCCTCCCTCAGCTGGGTTGGTTCTTTACTGCTGCAGCTTATTGTTCATCTCTTCAACAACAATCTTTTCTCAAAGAAGTCTGTTTTTGGACTTGATTCATTAAAAACTAAGCTCACAAAAGAGTCACTGACTACAGCAAGTATTATTTGCCTTAGTGTCAAATAAATGTTCATTATACTCTTAACACAAAGAGTACAATTGGTTAAATAGAATTGACTGTGCAACTGACATTTGAAATAAATAACATTCCCCCAAGATGTAATGAGTAGTAGAAAAAAGTTATGACTGTGTGTAATCCTGACTGCTATGCAAGAAAACTAATCTCTCTTTTCCGCTTGTTCATACCGTAAATGTAATGCAATTTCTTTGTAAAATGTTTGCCAATAAAGTATTACATTTATTATATCACAGATTTTGATTCATTAATAACGAATAATTTGAAAGAAAAAAATAAAGAAAAATACTTAGCAATATTATTTAAAAATAAAGGTTCTTTAATAACTGCTCCCTCAAAGGCCTCTCCCCTACAGACCGTCAGATTTTTGAAAAGGTGCCAAATAATGCAGCATGCTGGAGAAGTGGCTGCCCTGTGTGTGTGTGTGTGTGTGTGTGTGTGTGTGTGTAGATTCCTGGCAGGAGTTGTTGACTTTGTGATGGCTGGTGGACCAGTGAAGGCCATTGTTTGCTTTGACTGTTTCCACTGCCTGTCAGCAGTGATGCTGAAGTGTGGGCCGGGCAGCTTTCATTGTTGCTGCCACTGATAATCTTAAGAGCCACAGCTTGGGAGTAGCGTTAGATTCTGGATCACTTTCAACTCCAGCAGTTACCGCAGTGATCATGACGCTGAGCAGGGATGCAGAGACTTGTTGTGTGTGCAGATGGACAAGCATAATGCAGGCAGACTGAACATATATTACTCCACCATTAGTCATATAATCTTATTGTTAGGGCTGTACAAGGGCGTGGAACCAAATGCACGATGCAGAGACAAAAAAAGTATCAAAATAAAGTGTTTTAATGTAGACAGGTCATAACACACTGAATACATAAAGCAACAAAACAAAAACTACTAATACACTAATCTAACTCTATGGACGATAACTCTATGGACAATGACAAAAGGATCTTACGCTGGAAGGCTTGGAACACACAAGACAATCTGGCAACGAGACAGGGGAAGACGAGAACTATATATACTAGACAGACAACACCAGGTGAAGACAATTAGACAATCACAACCGTGGGAAAACAGACAAGGCAGGAAACGTACTTTAGACACATGAGGGTAGACAAGACTATCAAAATAAAACATGAACCTATCTGTGAAGCTGACAATTGAGCGGCCCGACCAAGCAAGGAGGCAGAGGCAGAACGTCCAAATACAACCCGGTGTGGGCATTTATTAACTCATGAACACATGACACAGCCTCAATCCTGCTGAACATGTGCACACCGTCACCAACCACAGGGATCTCCCACACACTACCAGCCTCCAAACAGACAGGGCAACAGGGACTAAATACACACACTAATCAACAATTAGACACAGGTGGGGGGGGAGGAGAACACAGGGCACCAGGTGCACACAATCAACAGCCACAGACATGGGGAAAGGGAACACTTTTGACATAAAACCAGCAAACAGAGACAGACAAACTAAAACACATACAGATGCACACACTACCTACATTTCCCCACCAACAAAGCTACACAATCCGTAACGGAGGCCGAGATCTATGGCCCCAGAGATCACCTCCGTTACACTATCTAAACACATAACATGAAACCTAAACTAGGGAACAATCTTAGCAGAGCCGTCTACGCACAAGAGTACATGGTACCTGTCTCTGTAAATAGAGTTTGTAAACTGTACCCTGTACATTATGTTGTTTGTCATCCTTATTGTTGTTCTGTTGTTTTTATGTTACATGTGTAACTAATGTCCTGCAGGTCACCCTTGAAAAAGAGATCTTTTGATCTCAAGGGGCTTCACCTGGTTAAATAAAGGCTACAAACAAGTACCCTCCCCTCTAGGGACGACACCTGACAGCCCTGGGACCTCCGGATGACACCTGTAGTAGTCCTCGATTAAGTCTTTGCCCACGATAAAACTGGACGGGACCCAGGACCGTAGCGCTCCCAATCAACCAGAAATTGACGACCTCGGCCTCGATTTCTCACTGACAGGAGACGTTTGACAGAGTACACCGGACCGCCATCAACAACACGGGGGGGGGGGGGTTTGGAGGGTGGAACCAGGGGACTGTCCAGAACCGGCTTGATTCGGCTGACGTGGAACGTTGGATGAACCCGTAGTGACCTGGGCAGACAGAGACTGACAGATACAGGATTGATTATTTTAGTGACAGGAAATGGACCCACAAACCTTGGAGCGAGCTTCTTTGACAAGACCCTGAGTGGCAGATCCTTTGTTGAAACAAACACCCGCTGCCCCGGTCTGTATGTAGGTGCCGCCCGCCACCGTTGATCCGCCACCGTCTTCATCCGAGCCGAATTCCTCAGGAGGACCCGACGAGCTGCAGCCCAGACACGGTGGCATCTTCTGACTAAGGCGTGAGCAGATGGCACCACCACCTCCTTCTCAGTTTCTGAGAATAGAGGAGGCTGATAGCCAAAGACACAGTGAAAGGGAGACAGACCGGTAGCAGAGGTGGGCAAAGACTTGCGTGCATACTCCACCCATGTCAGATGCTCGCTCCAGGTTGCAGGGTTCTGAGAAACCAGGCAGCGCAGGCACGTCTCCAACCCTGATTCAGCCGTTCCGTCTGTCCGTTGGACTGGGGATGATAACCTGAGGTGAGGCTGACGGACGCTCCCAGGAGGGTGCAAAACTCCTTCCAGAACCTGGAGGAAAACTGAGGACCTCGATCCGACACAATGTCTCTGGGAATACCATGAACACGGACAACATGAGTCAATAACGCCTGAGCAGTCTCTTTAGCTGACGGCAACTTTGGCATGGCAATAAAATGGACCATCTTAGAGAACCTGTCCACTACAGTGAGGACAGTGGTGTTACCCTTGGATGGAGGAAGACCCGTGACAAAATCCAACAAAATGTCAGACCAGGGCCTGCTGGGAACGGGGAGAGGCTGCAGTAGTCCCATCTGTGATTGTGATGACGTCTTGTTCCTGGCATAAACTACACAGGCAGCCACATATTCGGAGACATCCTTAACCAAGGAAGGCCACCAAAACCTCTGTCGAACGACGAATACGGTCCGCTTGACCCCTGGATGACAAGTGAGCAGTAATGTGTGAGACCAATGAATAACCTGTGACCGCATGGATTCAGGCACGAATAGCCTGTCCAATGGACAGCCACTAGGTTTCGGCCCCTCACCATTGACACGTTTCACCTGATCTACTATAGGCCATGTCACCACCCCAACCACACGGGAGAGTGGAAGGATTGGCTCTGGATCCTTGGCCATGGGCTCTGGGTAATGGAGGCGTGAGAGGACGTCAGGTTTGCCATTCTTGGACCCAGGTCTGAAAGACAATGTAAAGTCAAAACGGTTAAAAAAAAGTTGCCACC